AGTTTCTTTTTTTTACTCAGCCGCCATTTTCCAAAATGGCGGCCAAATTTGAAATTTCTTATGGAACACCCTATATTTTATAATGTTTTCGGATAGAATAGGCAATTTAAAAACTTTTTTATCCTTGACATTTTTTCGATAAACCCACTCGTTTAGGAGTTACAGCCTATGGAAAAATGACTTCCGGTGTACATTTTACATCATGTAACTCCTAAACAAGTAGGTTTATAGCAAAAATGCGAAGAGTAAAAAAGTCTTACAATTGCATCCACATTCCAAAAAAGACCATAAAATTCATTAAAAATATGAATTATATTATTTTAAAAATGGCGGCAAACTTGAAAAGTGGAAAACTTTTTATTTTATAGTCTTTAAGGAATGTAGATGCAATTCTAAGACGAATTTACTTTTTGCAATTTTGCTCTAAACTTACTCGTTTAGGAGCTACATGATGTAAAATGTACACCGGAAGTCATTTTTCCATAGGCTGTACTCCTAAACGAGTGGGGTTATCGAAAAAATGTCAAGGATAAAAAAGTTTTAAAATTGCATATTCTATCCGAAAACATGATAAAAAAACTAAAATCATATTTTTAACTGCCACAAAAAATAAAGGAATGTCCCCCATTTAAAGGTTTCTCTAATTCTTACCGTTTCCGATTTCCCAATGGTGGCCTCCTTGAGTCGATCACCCTGTATATATGAATTTGAACAGATGGTATTTTTGGCCTCTAGGGACCTCAAAACGAAAAATTAAATCGGTCCCGGGTCCAGGTGTTTAGTGGCTTATTCCCTATATGGAAAATTCACCAAAAACCTAATAGTTATATAGAACAATATTACATTCAACCAGCTGTTGGTTAAAACAAATTATATGGGACTAAAACAAATCAATGATTACAAAGATTCCTTTAAAAATTAATTTGAACATCCTACTAGTTTACTTATGCATATTTAATTAATCTGCCATCCTCATACCTAAGAATTGAATGTATCAATGGTCAGCATTACACATAGTATAAATAAGTCAACTCTAAATATGTCTTTAAATTTGTGTCACATATGCTGAATGTTTACAGCTGTTATGTTAAGCAAATTATATTGAACTAAAAGCTAGCTTAGAAGGTTAGCGTCGGCTGCTAGACTTTTAAAAAATTAAAACTTAATTTCTAAAAAACTGGTACCCTTAATTATAATTATGGCTTTGACATTCCCTGGTTCTCAAAATTATCTTTCTTTCAACACAAAAATAATGAAAATCCGTCGACTGGTTGATTCAGAATGTGAAAAAATCCCATTTACGTTTTAATAATATATATGATAGTTTGGACAGGTTTCAACCCTTCCGAGGCGTAATACGTTTACACAGTTTATGTGTAGACTACATTATAACTCATAAAATAGTTCTAAAATTAAATGGATCTCCTTTTACAAACGTATATAATAACCAGAAATTTTCAAATCGCCCTTGCGTGTATTTCATGCCACAAATTTTGACGAAAGGCTTTTTATTACAAAAACTATACCTATTTACAGTGTTGACCAAACAGTTGGCAAGAAGCATTAATAGATAAGCTATGTACCAAATATGATAATTTTAGCTTTATTCTAATTATGACAAAACACGAAGTAACTAAAAGCGAGTTTTGTTGGTGTAGTAAGCGTTGCAGGAGGTCTACTTTATACTGAATCGACGTTCACTTTTATTGCTTTTGATCTTCCGGCACTTTTGACTCAGCGAAACTGAACTTGTATTTTACCGTATTTATTTATATTAAAACTGCTGTTGCATTAGGTCAAATTCCCAATAAGTCAATTGCTTTATCATAGACCACGTTTTTAGCTCGGACTGTACTATTTGACTTACTGGGAATTTTGATCTACAGACACTGCAAACATTGTAGTTTTTGACCTAGCGGCACAGGTATAAATTATTTGATCTTCCGGGACTGTTGACTTTCAGCAACATTCCCCATTGCTCAAGTTGAAATAAGAATGTTTTTACTTTTCGTGCTTTGTTCTACAACAATAACACTCAAGTATGATACTAATACTATTTTTTGTCCTAAGGCCTAGGCACGCGCCCGAGATTGTTTTTCACATGACTTCAGGGTAGACCTAGGGGTTGCGGCACTATCACAGATAAAATACATTAGCGATTTGTCGGGATTTGAACCTGGGACCTGGGACCTTAGGGACCGAAGTCCCACGCTCTAACCACTATACCAGGCCGCTATACCTGATACTGATAGATTTTACTCGCTTGCTTAAGTTGCCAATTCATTTCTATGTATCCAACTGCAACCAATAATGCAATTTAATTATAAATCCGACCGATATAAAAGAGGAAAATTACCATTGTTATGCTTAATCAATCAAGTAATCACAGGTTGATCGGTTTGTGTATTGTAGGAATGTAATAAAGGAAACCCGATAACCAAACACAACACAGGGATTTAATTAATCGTAAAACACGTTCTATTGCAGTGGATTCACGTTTCAGCAGCCATTACTTGTGCGTACACAATATAATGAGTAGGCCTACATAACGTTGTACATAAAGTAGCGGGTAGGGTAGCGAGTTCATAGCACAGAGAGTCCAAGCCATAGAGTTTATATCTTAGCGAGATCATTAAGTAGCGAGTAGGATGCGAGTTCATGGCTTAAAAAAGTTCATACTATAGGGAGTTCATATCGTAGTGAGTTTATAAAGTAGCGAGTAGGGTAGCGAGTTCATAGCACAGAGAGTCCATAGTGAGTTCATATCGTAGTGAGATCATAAAGTAGCGAGTAGGGTACTGTAGCGAGTTCATAGTACAGAGTCCATACCATAGTGAGTTCATATCATAGCGAAATCATTAAGTAGCGAGTTCATAGCACAGAGAGTCCATACTATAGTGAGTTCATACCGTAGTGAGATCATAAAGTAGCGAGTTCTTGGCATAGAGTCCATACCATAGTGAGTTCATACGTAGCGAGATTATAAAGTGGGGAGTTCACAAATTAGTGAGTTCATAATGGAGGAATTCGTATAACATAACAAGGATATACCATACCGGTAGCGAGTTTAGCTAAAAAAAATTACTAATACAACATATGATAACTAAATGTGAAGTATATATTATTTTCTAATACAACATCGTGTAAAATAATTCACTAACAATGTCGAGAGCCACAAGACCTCCCACTGGGGCACAGACAAGACGCAGTGGATAAAGATTGCGATCTTAAGTTATTTATGAGTGTTTCTTAGGAAAAATAAACTGCTATGCACATAAGTTTTAACAGATTATATTTGTAGAGCAAAAATAATGTTTAGTAGTAAACTAGATGAACACTGCTCCTATTTCACAAACGTCACTGATATGGTATGTTGTTTATTTTCAATTTGGAAACTTCATAAAATTACCAGATAATTCACAAAAACATTAAAATAAATTTAACACATTGTAATACTTTAACGAAAGATGTACGAATTCCACTAATTTTGGATGTACAGCAAACAATACAGCAATGTCTTCTCTAATATCAAAACAGTTTATTCATGATTCATTTCCTTCAATACATTATCAAGTACGATGTAAATTCCATCACGAGAAAATGATTTACAAGTTTATAACTGTATAATGTCTGTAAAAGCACTTTCAGATAGGACATATTTCCATTTCCTGCCTTGAATATTTTATGTCAACCCAACTTCTTAAGAATTAGGACACATTCTGGCGGCTTGGTAGATCAAAGACGCTTTTAGCGTAGACGCGTATTATAACTCCGATATTTTTGTGGAGAGACGCTGTATACAGCGCAACAGCGCGTTTAATCCATATCAGTTTTAGGCATTGGCTTGAATACTTTCCTTGCACTACTCAAGAAAAAAGATATCACTATAACCTTTTCATATTCGAAACTTGTAGTAAAATATCTTTCTAAGGAAAGGGTTTTACTGTTTGATTTCAACTTATAAAACAATATGATAAAGTTATAACACATAACGACATAGTTTATAGGCCTAATAACATTATGGTTCTGAAACTGAAAGAATTTATCCATGTTATTTTGTTGTTTGTTTTGTTATTGTTGACTGGCCTTGCTTTCACTGCTGATGAATCTTTGCTGTGTTCTGTAACTGAACTTTTTTCAAGGTTATTTAACTAAACAAATGTATAAAAACCTGATAAATATAATAAACAGTTTAGAGTTAGGCATAAGTTAAGAATGAGTAAATTTGCGTCCGATAATTAATTTACGGACCCATATTGTAAATATAGGTATATTTTAAATATATGCCGGTGTACCGGTTTTTAATATTACAAAATCCGAGTTTTTTTTTTTAAGACGATTTAGGCCTAGGTTTATTTCGCATTATTTTGACTCATGGTAAACTTAATTATTGCTAAAGCATAGTTACAATAAACGCTGGTTTTGTTTAATGAACCATCCTGGCTTGTTTTTTAGGTTCACACAAAGCCTACTATGAATAAATCTAGTAATTATTTTCTTCTAATTTGGTTCTAATATTTTCGATCCTTGGTCCTGAAAGATGCCCAAAGTCTAATAAATTAAAGCAAACGCCACTCCTCCCCCTCTCGCCACGTTAGTAACCGCTGATAAAGAGACTGTCCGGGCGCCATTTAAAACACTTTTTGTCGTGCAATCTCAGACAAGGCTAACGCCCCGTGAAGGTCTCTCGCTCCGACCCTCTATACACACCGTGGCTACACAATAGCATGGGTGAGGACTGGGGATTACTGCGTGTCTTGTTATACCAGGCTCCGGGGCTGGATCACTCACCACTCAGTTGGACACGGTATGATGGAGTTAATAATGTTCTACTGACGCTCTGTATCCCGTGGATGAACGGGCTGTTGTTGAGACCTATTTGCCTATCCGTAAGAACGAGTGAGATCACACACATGGATGGGCTGTTTGTTGTTGTTGTTGCTCAATCTAGAGATCTACGACTAATGATAAAGTTAGAATGACTGGATAGCTGGTTGTACCTTTTGAGCCTTGCACATGTTGAGGATGGGCTGGACGTCGTGGCTGGCGTGTCTGTTGGCCGCGTCCTGTAAACACAAGATACACACAGGGACCTTGCACACCATACAGTACATACTGAGAGTCTCGTCACCGTGGCCGACCTCTACACAGTGTAGGTCCTTGGACTTGGCCCTAGTGACCGGGGGCTCCAGCAGCGTGTGCTTGGCCAGAGGTCCTCGGGGAGGGTGACAGTTGTCACGACATGTGTCGCAATACAACACCTCGCATTGGTCACACAGAACAGTCGCGTCGCGGCCGGGCTGTTCCGCACACAGTTGACATTTCAGACTCAGTTTCTTGGACTCTACGTATTTGTCGACGATATTCTGCATGGTGCGGTACTTGGGTAGATTGTTAGCTCCGTTCTCGTCGAAGTAGACGAGTTTCCGACAGACCGGACAGGCCAGAGACAACGCGCTGGCGGCTAGCGGCGGGAACAGTACGCCCTGCATGTTAGGAGTTCCGACATAGCTGTTGGGTCTACTGCTGCACACGACGCCGGAGTCCGTCTCGCTGAGTATAGACAGTTTGTCCACCTCCTCTGTACTCTGGGCTGTCTGGCTGTCCGAGGACACTTCTGAGGGTGGTTGTGAGGACGATGACGTCGAGACACTCTGTTGGAGGTGGAGGGCGCAGTTGAGACACAGGGTGTGGTAGCAAGGCAGCAGTACGGGGTTGTTGTACAGTTGCTTACACGCCGGACAACGGAGCTCTTCCTCCATCGTGCGTCAACACAAACAACCACACACAATCACACTGGTGACATAGCACACGAACACGACGTTAACACAACACTGGACCGAACTCGACTGACGCGCTGCCGCGCCGGCCGGTGCCGCTGCGATCGTTGGCAGCGCCAGCCAGTGGTGGCAGCACTGTTTCTTCCCGCACGAAAATCCCTCTGAATTCCCAGCTGTGCTCTTCCCCCGGATTCGATTAGCGGCAATGGTCTGTTATCTAGCCTATATCCGACCATTTCAAAAGCCACTTCAGGTAACAAGTTTTCTTGCTTGTGTTATTGTCAACTTACTTGAATGTGCACAATTGTTAAAAAAAACATTCGTGTCTACTGTAAACGATGGGCAATTTGCCTTTTAATACTTAGAACCATTGACTATATAACACTAAAGTAGTGTTATATAGTCAATGTTAGAACTCTGAATGGATTATTAATTTTTTTTTTTTATTTTGATAATGGTTATACTCTAAATGTCGTATTTATAAATAAGACCAAAGATCTTGCAAAATAAACATGAGCGTACCCAAAAAAAAAATATCCCCATACAACTTGAGTCAAGTAGGATCTTAAAACCATTGAAACAACAAGCAGGAGTCTTCCCTTGAGTGATATAATTGGGTTCTGAAATGCAACTGTATTAACATTTACAATACAATGTTCAAATAGTATTCATAGTTCCCTTAATCTCTACGAGGCTTAAGGAGACCAATTCACTTCCATGGTTACCTATTCATTTTCACGCAAGAGGTTTTGCCTCTCCGATTTTAATTGGCAGTCGTAATCACGCTTCCTAATTAATACTTCTGAGGTTTTGTTCGAGTAATTAAAAGAACAACGGTTTAAGTCCTCGTTCTGGTCTCTTTGTAGTCTCGCACCTAGTAATGAGTGAATTGCGAACAGCCTTAATTGCGACGATTTTTAAGCCCCCTTGAAAGCCCTGAAAGTCAACAGTTCTCAATACACCAGCGTTGAACAATGTTCATGTTCGCTGGATTGGGTTGTTTCCGTGAAGTAAAGAATGGTTGAAAAAATGTTGCGTTTCACAGTACATTCATTTTTGTTTAGTTCATTGGGATTGTATTTTTTTTTACTCGACCTTATTAACATTATATAGATATCACTGCAAAATACTCACAAACCCCTGACTACGTATAACTACCTAATTTGAATAAATAATTTCTGGAATCCAAAAGAGATGATAAAATATTTTACAAAAAGGTTGATGTAAAATCGTAAACAAACCTGTCAGCTTTAAAGTGTCATCGTCTTTCGTGCGTAAATTTAAATCTGTCATCGATGAGTTGACCCAATAAAGAATTTTGTGTTCACTGAAGCTCAGACATTAATTAAACCCTCTTGACGTAAACTAATGTAATTTACCGTGTCAAGAGTCGTTTCACAATTGTACTCAATTAAATCGGGTGTTGAACTGTTTGAACAAATTAACAAAAAAGTACCTACTGTATAACTTTTGTTACAAATTGTATTACCTCTTCATTTTGCCTATGTTAGATTTCAGTCTTTGACATTTTGTGTAATTACAAATTCTTACTATTTTAATCATTGTGTCTGTCTTTCTATTTTACCAAAATTTACAGACATTTTGCAAAACGATTATCTACATTCCTTGAATAAAACAATATTCTTATGATTGGTATACAATTTATTTTCAGACCCATCCTAAAACATTCTTCAGTTCTAATAGGCTACCACCTCTCCTGAGATACAAACCAAACATGATTTGAAAAAGCTCGAGTCGAACATTCAGAGAACATATTTAACTGTTTCATTCAGTAAAATTAAACCCAGAACGCCAACAGCTTGTTAAGTAAAGTTAGAAAGTTCAACACGATAGTTTGGAAACTGGAACTTCAGTTTAACATGTTCCGCGAAACGACAAACATAAACGGCGGCTACGTTACCACCTCAAAGTTTGTGATTTAGGTCAGCGAATCAACATTTTATAGTGGAATGTTTGAAAACATGAAACGACGAAACGATTCTTTGCATTTATGACTGGACTTTTACAAGTTTGATTTTAAAAACAGATCGAAATTTGTAGCATTAAAGTGCATTTCCAGACAGACAATACAAACATTCTTAGGTTATTTTCTATTAGTATTTTACCTTGACTGGTGGATAAAGTGCCAGAAAGGGGTGGTTGCGTCGTCCTGTAATCCAACTACTAGGTCACGAATAATTGTGGATATTTATAGGCATGAGCTATGGATGCGATACTCCCCGGTATAGATTAACGTCCGCACTATTGAGTACTACGACTATCCGCAATACTATCCTGATAATTAGACCAATTTGGTTATTACAAGGAAGAATATGGTTCAGATTCCACTATAAACTGTAGGTACCTTAGTTTCCATTGGATGTATGGGCTATTAATTATCAACTGTGTCTAAGGAATATGTCAGCCAAGTCACTAACAAGACTCTTATCCTTCACTCATCTCCATTCATACTTGGCTTAAAATACATTCCTTTGTATTGTTTAAAATTATTAAGGATATGTTACAAATTAAGGGTCTTAGATTTTCATAGTTTAATCACAACTTTAGATTTTTTGTGAAAATAAAATAACTAGAAAATCAGGGCGAGACTTTGAGATTTATAATTTGACAATTTAAAGCCTTAATAGTGTTAAGCCTAATAGTCCTGTATAAACGCGTCCGACAGCCTTGGCTTCAAAACAAATTTATAATCATTATCTTCATGACAGCAACATGGCATTTCCAAGTTAACAAAACTTGTGGGAGAGATCCAATTAATGCCATTCAAAATAAAAATTATTATTATGTTTTGCTATGGTATATAACTAATAATTTTTCCTACAGTCACCCGACAAAGTTGGCTTCCTTGTACTGTTTATAGTACAGAAAGCTGCTTATTGCTGCATATTTATACTTTGCCGTACGGTTTATACTTTGCCGTACGGTTTATACTTTGCCGCACATCAGGATTCCAACGAAACAACACAAAACAGCGTGGTTCTATTATGCACGTAATCCGTGTACGCTTGGAAAAAGGTTGGCAACACTTAAAGATAATAATACTATGAGCAGCTGATTGACTATTATAACTACGATTTAACCTGTCATTTCGTGTTTATAGTTTCGGTATTTCTGAACTTTCTGGACTTTTCTTTTAAACGTTTTCAAAACATTCCTACGATCTTAATAAACAAGAAAATGCCTTTAAAGCATTTTTTTAGGCGCGGAAACCACTTCAAATTACAAAAACATACGGAACTATATTCTCAAAATGCGGAGCACATTTCTTGTCGAGGAAAAATAGCGGAGTGATACGGACCGCGGGTACTACTTTCTCTAGGGCACCATTTGTGTAGCCAGCTGAACCTAAAAACGTGTTGTATAGTGTTTGAAAGACTAATTATTTATATGCTTTGTAGTGACTGTAAGAAAAATATAATGTGTAACACGAGTGAAAAAGGCCTTTGCTGCACTCGAGATCATTCCGCACATTGCTCTCGTGTGCAGCAAAGTGCCACTTTCACCACTAGTTACACAAATAACTATTCACGTTATCCTTTGATCTCGGTTCAATCTACGTATAATCCCTGTGTATATTTTACAGCAAGGAAATTTGTGTTGAGTTTTTGACAGTTACAATGTCACTATACTACTATGTTACTACACGGTTCTTTATTAATTATTTTAACTGAGGTTATCTATACAAATAATAGTTTTTTTGAAATTTTTTTTCTTCCCTAACGCCGAATTATTTGATTTAAATAACGCATTAATACAAACAAGTGTAATTCAAATAAACATTTTCGTTGTACTGAAGCGTTTTGATGGGAATTTGATTTTATAATTGATGTCTGCAAAGCAAGCTGTGGTTACTTGTAGTATATAGGAACAAAACTTGAAGCTGTTATCTTCCTAATGGTGTAAGTTACTCTTTCTATATCAGTAAAACTTCGCTGTTATTTAAAAAAATGTTGTTTACTTCTTTTGTGTACACCCGGTATGTTAATGTGTTGAATAACTCTCTATTTTCAGAAAGTGCAGCTATTTAAACCGTTGAAGTGGTACTTTCTCAACTCACTACTCTAAACAATTCTGAATTGAAACCACCATAGTGATACAGTGATTCACCCCGACCCACCCTACGGTAAATGACAATCCACCGCTCAAATTACAACAAATAGCTGCAATACTGCAATACCCTCGTGTTACGGGGGGCAAGTTGATTAAAACCACCCGTCATTAAAGCCCTGAGGTGTGCTTTGTACCCCCCCCCCCCCACACACATACACACGCACACAATGGCCAAGCCACAGCAGCCACCCATCACAGGACCCTATAGGAAACCAACCCTCCATTTGTGGCACCTACATATTGCCTCTGCCTGCATCCCAGTGCGAGAATTATTTCGACTTTACGCCTGAAGTCATCGTGAATATTTGCCATTCATCATGATAAATGAGTTTCCCTTAGTTACACAATTATTCTGTTTAAAAAAACTATATAGGCTAGGTACAAATATGTATATACATTTTTAAACTAAAACAAATCTCTTTAATTTCTATTGAACTGTATTTATTTGTGAACAATTATTACCTTTCGATCAAATGTACGTTACCTCAATCATAACCAATTTATGTGGATAGGACCTCCCAATGTTTCCTGATAGGCTACCGCTAAAGTAGGCCTACAGTTTAGCAGAAATGTAAATTTTTTCTTAGTATTCCAATATTGTAGACATTTCACAATGATTGATGTGTTAAATCGACAAATACAGTCGAAAACAGTCAAGTTATCTCACATCGTGATGAATGCTGCAGTACTTTACATGCTAATAAGTAACCCTTGTGTGTAGGCTTTATACGCGATGGTTATGTATCGCTGTATGCATTGGAAGTATTTACTTTTACTGTGTATAATGTAATATAGCGATACTTAATTACAATTCTTAGTTGGGTATTGTTCAATTAAATGTCTACAAACAGGATGTCGATCTTAGGCCTCAAAACATTACAACAACTTATATGAACACTAAAATGTCCGTCCAATACCTCCTATACCTTTATTGGTTACTTACAACCTGCTAAATTATTGCTATTAC